CAGGAAAGGTGCAAAGCTACACAGAGAAACCCTGTCTCGAAAAACAAAAAACAAAAACAAAAAACAAAAAAAAAAAAAAAGAAGGTTGAGAATGAGAAAGCTGGGCGTTGGTGGCGCACGCCTTTAATCCCAGCACTCGGGAGGCAGAGGCAGGTGGATCTCTGTGAGTTCCAGGAGAGGCACAAAGCTACACAGAGAAACCCTGTCTCGAAAAACCAAAAAAAAAGAACTTCAAAATACATAAAACAAAACCAGTCCTATCTGGAGAAACTGACGTTACATTCTTTACAAGATTTTGAATCACATCTATTAGAATCTAATGGGTTAAGTGAGGTGAGAATGGGAAAAAAGGAAAATCATAAAGTAGGAACCCTGGCCTAATGGGTCTCTCTGTAAACATGCTCCAAAGTTAAGAAAGTGTTTTCAAGCCCATGTGAAATGTGCCAAACTCCATTGTAACCAGATCACTGAAAGAAGACTCAACAAATGAAATACACACACCAACTCAAGTTCTACAAGTTACAAGCTAGAATCAGTGTTTGGGATGGTTGGGTTTGTTTGGTTTTTGGTTTTCCAGAGGACCCGGTTCAATTCCCAGCATCCACATGGCAGTTCACAACTGTCTGTAACTCCAAGATCTGAAAGCCTCACACAGACATACATGCAGGCAAAACATCAGTGCACAATGAGGGAGGGAGGGAGGGAGAGAGAGAGAGAGAGAGAGAGAGACAGAGAGAGAGAGAGGGGGAGGGAGAGAGAGAGAGAGAGAGAACTCCTTATGGGGACCTTCTAAGTAACTACTGGTGAACTTATTATAATAAAAGAGTTAAGGCTATTACCAATTGTGTTGAAGTAAATGTTGACAAAAATTTGTTTACTAGGGTTGGGGGTTTAGCTCAGTGTGGCGGTCGAGTGCTCAAGTGCAAGGCCCTGCGTTCGGACCTCAGCTCCGGAAAAAATTTTATTTACTGATACTTCAGAAAGAAAGGAGTGTCCATTTTTAACTCTAGACAGGGGTAAAAAATACACAAACTACACGTGGAAGTCAGGCTCCAGAAGTTCAAGGTCAGCCTACATTAGAATTCAAGGCCTGGGGCTGGAGACATGGCTCGGTAGTTTTAGAGCACTTGTTCTTGAAGAGGACCTGGGGTTCCATTCCCAGCACCCCCATGGTCGCTCACAGTCATCTGAATTCCAGCTGCAGGGGGTCCGATGCCCTGTCACGACTTTTCTGGGCATGTACATACATGCAGCCAAAACTTGTATACATAACATTTTAACTTTTTTTTTTTTTTTGAGTTCGAGGCCATCCTTAGCTACATGAGAGACAGCTTCGAACCAAACAACAAAAACCTACATGACAGGCCGAGTGGTGGTGGCGCATGCCTTTAATCCCAGCAGCATCTCTGAGTACAAGGCCAGCCTGGTCTACAGAGTGAGGTCCACGACAGCCAGGGCTGTGACAGAGAGAAACCCTGTCTCAAAAAAAAAAAAAATAAAAATAAAATAAAAAAATAAAAACCGCCAGGCGGTGGTGGCTCACGCCTTTAATCCCAGCACTCGGGAGGCAGAAGCAGGAGGCTCTCTGTGAGTTCGAGGCCAGCCTGGTCTACAGAGCGAGATCCAGGACAGGCACCAAAACTACAGAGAAACCCTGTCTCGAAAAACAAAAAACAAAAAACAAAAAACCCTACATCTCGGGGGTGAGCAGGGGCATCGGGGGAGGAATGGATGAGTAACACAGAAAGCGAATCCCAACTCTCCTGCCGCCGGGCTCACCTGCAAGTGCGGTTGTGCGCAGCCGCAAAGGCGGGCGGCGCGCGCGCCAGCGTGAAGTTCAGGAAGCCGCGCAGGTCGGGGGCGCGCGTCCAGCGGTAGTAGGCACGCGGCAGGAAGTCGGAGGAGAAGGCCAGCAGGAAGGCCTGCGGGCGCGGGGTCGGCGCGGGGTCAGCGCGGGTGACGTCAGCGGGGACCCCGGCTCCCACCCCACCCAGCGGGCCAGCCGGGCGCTCACGTTGCTGATGACCGCGAGGTGTGTGAGGCCCGCGAGGATGTGGAACCAGATGCCGATGTCCTGGGCGCGCTCGGCCACCGGGCGCCGGTACTCGCACACGAACTTGCGCGCGTCCAGGCGGATCTCCACCCAGTTGTTGAGCAGGGCAAAAAGCGGCGCCAGCGGGCAGGCGGCCACGAAGATGGTGACGAATCCGAACTGCAGCACTGCGGGGCGCGAGGAGCCGCTGGCTGGAGCTGGTCAGCCTCTCGGACCACCCGTGGCGGGAATGGCGTAGGGACGCCCAGCTTGCCCACCAGAGCACCAAGCAGTTGGTTTCGCCCTTTTCCCTCCCCTCCGGTTGTATTCAGTGCCAGGGCCACTGCCCACCTTCCTGGCTGGCCCCTAGGCTTGGGAGGCCTGATCTGCACTACTCTGATCATGGTGCTCCTGGACGGCCTTGGCCACCCAATACCTCTGAAGTCGGGGAAATCCTGCCCCTGGCTTTAGAACTATCCTCCCCATTTATCTCCAGGGGTAGCCTGGGTCGTCTGTAAAATTGCTTAGCGAGGTCTTCAGATGCCATTATGCAGGATACACAATACCACCCCGCTCCCTGTAACCCACCCGGTTTCTTATCCACAGAGTGATCCTGCCCCTGTTACTGGTTATGCTTTGGTTGCCAGGCAACTCAGACGCGTGTTCTGCTGACGAAGTTATGACTGTGCCAGATCTCCCTTGTGTTAGTCAGGCACAAGCCCCGCCCTCAAAACCGTCACACCCCGCAAGCCACGGGTATGGGCCACCACTTGGCGGTTTCACAGCTAAGGAAACCGTTAGAGGAAATCAGCCCTCTAGGCTGACATGGCCCAGCTGTACCTACCTACCTTCACATGCTGGAGGATCTTGGCTCTGCCCAGGACCCGCTTTCCCTAATACACAGCCTCAGCTCCCAGGCATCCCCAGCCCTCCCCCATCCCCCTGGGTCTGCTGCCACCCCATCTCTTCTCCAGACTCCCAGGGCCCCTTGTGCCCCCCACTTCTCAATGACACATTGCATTTCAGGGTCGGCCAGGGGCAGTGTCGCTGTACTGTGGATCTTACCCATTTCAAGGTACTCGTGGAACAGCCCCTCACAAGGCAGCAACTCGTAGTCGGCCTCCCAAGGTGCTGGGTGGGCCCCCGTGCCAGCCTTCCCTCTCCTGGAGTACAGCTTCTGCCAGCAGCCCTTCATCTTTCTGCAGGGAGAAAGTGGAGGATGGCATGGCCACTCAAGCGTCCAGTGATGACTGAGCTAGTCCGAGAGCACACGCACCCTGGGGGTTGCGTTGTTGCCCTCAGGCGAGGTTGGGCAGGGCAAGGGACTTGTAGTTCTTGCAGCTCAGACTCCTCCAAGGCCCTGGACCCCTCTGTGGGACATGATGCAGTTTGCCTTTCTGGTTTCCTGCCGTGTCCTCGAGAAGGTCAACCCGGCTCCCTGGAGCCTTTGGAGGGTGGAACCATAGCAAGGCTAGGAAGGAGCTAGTGAGGCTGACAGCTGAGTCCCAGGAAAGCGGAGGGGCCATGGGGCCAGGTATGTGGGCTTCATCATACTGGGGCCACACAGATGTGACTGCATCACACCTGGGAGGCAGGTGTCAGTCCTGTGTGTATGAGGCTTTGTCAGAGGTTGTGAGGTGTCATGCATTGAACACACGTGTTGCTTATCACATTGTATGGGGGCACAGGTGTCTATTGGCTTTCTCACACGGCCTGCACCTGCTAGACACTGAGTCAAACCTGAAGCCCGGGGCCTCCTCTTGCTTATCCCTCCCATGCTGGTCGGTGGTGGTAGGAAATACGTGCTGGCCTATGTGGTCTCCTGCTGAGGAACCCAGGCCTCCCCTGACAGAGCTGTCCAGAGGCTGTGCTGGTGACGGGAGAGGCTGTTCTGAAGACCACAGTATGACATGGCGGTCTAGGGCATGGCAAGTCCTGCCTCCCCTTTCATTCTCCTAGCACTCTGAGGAAACCCTGTTCCCTAGAAGCTGCCAGGGCAGGGTGGAGGTGACTTACGGGACAAGGACCTCCTGCACATTGTTGATGATCTGCTTGCCCACCATGATGACCAGGAGCTCCTGTGCCAGCTCAATGAGGCAGCCTCCAGCCGCACACTGCAGCAGGACAACTTCAGGTTAGCTGTGGGGAGGGACCAGGCACACACTCACCTAGCTTTTTGCCTCACAGGTGGCTTCTCCACCTCTACCTCCCACAGGACATGCCTGGAGTACCTCGAGAATTGCAGGGATCAGCCCTTTCCACCTCACTTCAGTTATGTGAGGGAACAACCACTGGGCAGCTGTACTTTGTGCCCTGTAGCTCCTCAGCCAACTGTAGCCACAGGCTCCAGGGAAGACCCAAGATGTGGTAGTCAAGAGTCAGACCCAAGGGGCTCAGAGGTTAAGAGCACTGGCTGCTCTTCCAGAGGTCCTGAGTTCAATTCCAGAAACCACATGGTGGCTCACAACCATCTATAATAAGATCTGGCGCCCTCTTCTGTATACATAATAAATAAGTAAATCTTAAAAAAAAAAAAAAAAAAAAAAAAAAAAGTCAGACCCAAGGAGTTTCTAGGAGTGCATGCCATGCCTGGGAAACTCAGCCACACCGTGGGATGTCATCCTCCAGGGTGGGGAACCTTGAGAACTCAGTCAGTGCTGAGGGCAGCACCTGGATCCAGCCGTTCTTGAACCAGGGTCTCCAATAATTTCAGTGCAAGAGCGTGTGGTCGCCCTTTTCCTACCTACGCTAGTCTGAGCTGGGCATCTCACTAAGAGCTGAAAGCTACCTCACATGGCACAGCAGCCACAGTACGGCCCTGAGGTAGGGGCCCGGTTGCTCTGCCTCTCCCCACACAGTTCCTTCCCCTTATGTGAAGTGGACAGCTTCCCTCAGAGAGGCGAGCCAGCTTGCAGTGAGATGAGATAATGGCCCAGGCCCTGGGGAGAGGTCTAAAAAGAGAAGGGTCTTTCAGGTCTGGTGGCCAGTAAGGGCTGTGGAACGCCATGTCTCCCAAGTCCAGCGCTACAGCCACCAGTGGACAGCTCCAGATGTACCCACCACACTGCCTGCACCTCGGATCAATCCCGCACGGCCCTCAGCTAATAAGGCCGCAAGTGTCAAACAGTTCTTTGGGTGTCTGGGCAACACAGGGTCCTTTCCTTACTCCTCCTGGGTATTTGTGTTCGGTGTCTTGAAGCCCTGTCCCCTGCAGAGGAACCCACATGCCATCCTCCGCCAAGGCCACTGCACACCTGAGAAGCCAGGTTCCCCTGATTCCCAAAGAGAAGCAGAGCACACTAGTGCCCGTAGAAGAGGACGGCCATGGAGAACCCGGACAGTGAGGCTGTGGGGCGCTGGCCTCAGTGCCCCCCTCATGGGGGGCTTCCTAAGGGCTCAGATGCCTCCAGGGTGTGTATTGGGTTAAATCAGAGTAGGGCAAAGACCCATGGTGTGTGTGTTCTCTAGACAGTGGTTGTGAATCAGGACTGTGAATCAGGGACTGATGTGGTAGAGTCCTGGGGTCTTGGGAAGCAGCTGTAAGCCTGGCCTCTGGCTTGGACAGTGGTGGAAGGTGGACACAAAGAATAACATCAAGTTAAAGCCCCAGTGGGTACAGAGGGAGCCTAGCCGCCATTCCCTGGCTGGGTGTGTCCTCAGCACACTCACCTCCTCATTTCGGACTCCAAACAAGGTGTGGTAGTTGCCTGGGTATCCCACAAACCTAGCAGGATCCAAGTTGTGAGGCTGTGAGAGACTAGATTCTGAGTGTCTCCTCTCTTCCCCACCCCCGAGGCCTGGCTGGGAGAAGCACAGACTTGACCCCTTGTCCCCTCCCAGCCCATGAAGTCATTCTCGCTCAGTCCTTTGCCCTGGCTGCCTATCTCCATCTGCTGCTGAGCAGGGTGGGGTGACAAGTTGAGAAGGCGACACCTACCTGCCCTTGAAGAAGGCAATGTACACAGGCGAGGCGTAGAAGTTGACAAACTGAAAGATGAACACCTTGAGGGTGAAGGCATCCTCGAATGAGGTCTGTGTCCGGTGCATCTCTGTGCAGATGGGGCTTTCTCAGTTCCCCGGCTATGCTGGCCAGTTCCAGTGCACTGCCCCTTCCCAGGAGACCACACCACCATCAGGGTGAGAAAGAAGCCATGTTGTCCAGAGAGTTTAAAGTTCATCAAAGGAGGGGGTCCTAAAGTTCTAATTTCTAAATTTTCCTAAAACGTGATTAAAGCAGTGGTAAATCTTGATTGTGTATGTGATTAGGTTAAATTGGATTATGAAAACACACCTATTGGTCTGTCCGGAAATACTTCCAGAAAGTATTAGCTCATGAGGACTCTGACCTTATCAGTGGATCAATATTGCTAATCAGATGGATTAATAATAAGCTGATAATACTATTGGGATTTGGTGGCAGTTGGGGCCTGTATGGAAAAAACAGGTGTCCTAGGGTCTGTATTCCACCTGATCCTGTCCTGTATTCCCCTCCTTGCTTCCTGGGCACCACACCCTCCCTGCTGTGATGGACTGCCACCTCTGAAACTGTGATCAGGGGTACATAATTCCTCCCTTAAGTCACTCTGTCTGGTATTTTAGCAAAAAAGGAGCCGGGCGGTGGTGGCACAGGCCTTTAATCCCAGCACTCGGGAGGCAGAGCCAGGTGGATCTCTTTGAGTTCGAGGCCAGCCTGGGCTACAGAGCGAGATCCAGGAAAGGCACAAAAAGCTACACAGAGAAACCCTGTCTCGAAAAACCAAAAAAAAAAAAAAAAAAAAAAAAAAAAAAAGGTAACTAATACAATTGGGAATGCCTGGAATAGTAACTAAAAACAAAAACAAAAAAACCTAAAATCCAACATTTGCACCCTCGTTAAAATAGTGTATACAGGACCAGTGAGATGGTTCAGTGAATAAAGGTGCTTGCTGCCAGGCCTGATGACCGAGTTCCATCCCCAGAGCTCACCTGGAAGGAGAGAACTAACCCTCGCAAATGTCCCATAGCACACACAAGCCGTGGCCCATGAGCGTGCGCACACACACACACATTAAATACATGTAATACTTTTTAAAAGTGTGTATAGATGAGGTTGGGGGTGGGATATGTCCAAGGACAAATAGTTTCTGGTCAAAGCTGAGTGAGAGCTGAGCTATATTGCAGAAAAATTGCCAAGACCAATGTAGGAACGTAAAAGGTCAGTTGGAGGAAAAGGGACCAAAAGTCCCACAACTGTGGGAACCTACACCAGCTCCAGCTCCACTACTCATTCTCCTGGGAACATCTACCTGTGGCCCTTCCAGGGAAGAACTCCCCTGGCACCTACCTGGAGACCTCCCTTAGTACTGTGTTCCCTTTCCGTCCATGTGCCCCAAGGGTGCGCTGTCCCTTCTCAGGACCTTGCTTGGCTGGGGCTGATACAGGCAAGGCCTTGTGGGACAAGTGATTAGGCCTCTTAGCGTTTGCTCATAAGGAAAAATTGAAGACAGAAACAGAGAAGTGGAGAGACAGAGGCAGAGGGAGAGGCATCTTGACCTGGGGACAGATACAGAGGATATGCAGACACTTGGTAACCATTTGGAGTGGTCTGAGCTGGTCACAGCTAAGCCCCCATCCCTAGTCCACCTGATGGAGGTCCTGGTCCTTGTTCTGGAGGCTCTAGTATCACGCTGAGAACTCTACAAGCTTGAGGGATCTTATAAGGAAGGTAGGAGAAGCAGAGCCCTTGGCTGAGCGCTCTTGACCCTCTCCCTTAAGGCCCTCCCTGCCCCTGCCATTTTAAGGAGGTCTCTGGGAGACAGTGCAGACACCTCCTTGGGGAGCATGGGTCTGCGGCAATCAGTCCATGTTTGTATTGGTTTGGCCAGCACTCACCCCACTTTGTTAGGACCTGGGCCAGGACCACGTAGACCTTGGAGAGGATGACGATGAAGACAAGGTTCACCACTGACCCTGTGAGGCTGGCAATTCGTGGAGCCTGATAGGGAACAGATGATAAGAGCAGGCACAAGACGGGGTTTGGAAGCCCCCAGAAGAACAGGCAGCAGAGACTCACCCAGGCCGAAAGGAAGGCATTGTCTGACTTGGACACAAGCACAGCCATGATGGCCCGGTACAGAATGATAGACACGAGGCACATAATCACCACGGCCACCTGCAGGACCAGGAGAGTCCTGAGCCCCTGCTGTGGACCCAGCACCCACACCCTCAGGCCTTAGGCCTACACAGGCCTCTGGGTCCACAGCAGCTCCACAGGTTCCTTTTCCCAGGGCTCTCATCTGCAGGCTGCCTGTGCCCCATGGGTTCTCCAGAGGTGGGGCAGGATAGGACTGAGAGGTCAGGATGCCAGGTAGTTACTGTACGTTGACATTCTACCCAGTGTTGGAGAACTGTGCCCCATTCACTCACCTCTTTACAGCCCTAAATTCGGATCCATAGTACCTGGAGAGGGCTGGGGTCCTTTTAAGCCGTCTTTGATTAGAAGGTACCAAAGGAATTAGTGTGCCCCATGCTCATTTTTGGAATCCGTTCTCTTGTTTAATGGGTGCCCCTGGGCCATACATGGTGAAGCTCTTCCAGAACCCCTCATGGTATATGCACATACACACCCCTTATGAAAGCCCAGTTTGGCCCTGGGCTCAGGCCCTTCCTGAGGCACACAGCACAGGAGCCTTTCTGGAGGAAAGGACCCCTGTGGCTCAGGAAGACAGGGGCAGAGGGGACAGGGTGGCAGGACCCCCCGCACCATCATCAGGAGAACCACAGAGCCAGCCAGCATGCGGCTCTTCTCAGGAAAGTAGGGTTCGTCTTCCCCAGTGATGGGGTTCAGGGCTGTCAGAGGAGCCTTTGCAGCGAACTGGGGCCGAGGCCTCTCCTGAAAGGGAACCATGCTTAGTCGGGTGTGACCCTTGCCAGAAGCCACCCAGCCCGGCCCACTTACCTCAATGTCCTCATAGTCAGAGCAGTCCCAGCGGTAGGCCAATGTGGCATTTTTCCGCTTCCAGTACTCCAGAAGCAGCACCGCCCACAGTGCCATGAACAAACTGAAGAAGACAGTGCCGCCATGGTCGAAGAGGCGCCCAGCCTGCAGGGGAGAGGGGGACCCTGAGTCTTCCCAAGGACGGGAGGTCCTTTCACAGGCCCTTCTTCGGGAGCTGGAGTGTCTTCCCACACAGGCACACCACGATGCCCCAGACCCACAGGGAGCTGCAAGTGCCTAGTTTCACCCAGTCCGGGGAATCTTTTTTTAAAGAGTACCTTCCAACTCACCATGCCACTGAGCATGATCTCAAATTCCTGATCCTCCTGCCTCTGTCTCAGGCATGCTACCACCCTTGTTTACGTGGAGGAGGGGCCAAACCCAGGGTCTCATGAATGCTAGGCAAGAACTCTTAGCAATTGGCACACAACCAGCCCATTGCTCAGCCTCGCCCAGCTCACTCATGCCTGACTTGGATTCGTCTGAGCCGAGCACATAGAGAGGAGAGTTTTGTGTTTTAGAAAAACTGGAGGATGCTGGAACAGATGAATATGTTTCCCACACAAGGTAGTCAGGAAGTCGGGAGGCTTAGGGGAGTTGTAGTGGGTTGGATTGTGACTCTCCAAGAGGATGTGTCCCCTGATGTAATCTCATTTGGAACAGGAGGCTTTGGTTATAGATGTAATTAAGGTATGGATTTCCAGAGAAAAGTGCCTTACATGGGATCATAACCCCAATGTCAGCTCTCATAAGAATGCCTGATGGAACACATTAGGGAAAGAAAGGCCATGGAGACAGAAACAGGAAGTAGGAACAGAGAGGCAGCCACAGACTAGACACCAAGGAGCCAGGCAGCTCAGCATCTAGCCTTCAGCTGCCAGCCAGCACAGCATCCTTCATCCCATCACTGCTCAGCCAGACCCAGCACATTTGTTGTTGTTCTGGGTTTTTTATTTATATTTTGAGAGAGAAAGGGCCTTATCCATGTCCGGCTGGTCTTGAATTTGCTATGTACTAAGAATGACCTTGAATTTCTGATTCTCTATCTGTTTTAAATACAATTTATTTTTATGTGTATTGGTGCTTTACCTGTACATTTGTCTGTGTGAAGGTGTCAGAGCCCCCTGGAACTGGAATTACAGACAGTTGTAAGCTGCCATATGGGGTATTGGGTATTGAACCCAGCTCCCCTGCAAGAACAGCTAGTGCTCTTAGCCACTGAGCCATCTCTCCAGCCTTGATTCTCTACCTCTTAAGGGCTTATCAAAGACACACCCAGGAGGATTTCTGGGATAGAAGCAAAGGGACTGTGGGTTCATCCTGAGCACCAAGGATATCAGGAATACATGGAAAGGAAGCATACCCAGGACCATGCTGGCCAAGCCTCTAGCCAGCTGCACAGAGCCTGTGGCCAGGTCTCCTAGGTTGGGAAGCCTGCTCAGAGTCCAGACTCTGTGTGTGTGTGTGTGTGTGTGTGTGTGTGTGTGTGTGTGTGTGTGTGTGTGTGTGTGTTCAAGACAGGGTTTCTCTGTGTAGCCCTGGCTGTCCTGGAACTCACTCCATAGACCAGACTGGCCTCAAACTCACAGATATCTGCCTGCCTCTGCCTCCCAAGTGCTGAGATTAAAGATGTGCACCACCACCGCCCACCTTGAATTCCACACTCTTGGTTCTGCCGGTGCCTAAGAGCTTCTGGAGATGCCGTAGCTTAAAGTCCTGGGGTAGGTTTCCAAGTGATCACTTGGTTAGTCTTTTGTGCTGATTAGTTTTTGTTTGTTTGTTTGTTTTTTCAACTTGACACAAACTAGGGTTATCTGGGAAGAGAGAATTTCAAATAAGAAAATACCTCCATCAGATTGGCCTGTAGAGAGGGCTCAGTGGGCAGTGCTGCCCTGGGAGGTATAAGAAGGCAGGCTAAGTGTGAGTCTGCTGAGCAAGCCAGTGAACAGCACTCCTCCATGGCCTCTGCTTCAGTTCCTGCCTCCAGGTTCCTGCCTTGAGTTCCTACCCTGACTTCCCTTGGTGATGATCAGAGCATGTAAACCAAATAAATCCTTTCCTCTCCAAGCTGCTTTTGGTCGTGGTGATTTCTGACAGCAATAGAAAGCAAACTAAGACATGGATATCTAACACATATATCAGTAAAAGCTACTTTGTGACATTCCTGAGTCATTTGTACGACATACCAGACCTAACCTGAATGCCAGGTTAGGGGCACCAGAGTCGACAGCTCGCTGAGGGTTCTGACTTCACAGATAGAGCCAGGACCTATGGGAGCTGCCCGCCTTCAATGCCCTGACCCCAGCTCTCCTTCCATACCTGGGCCAGGGTGCAGGCACTGGAGAGCAGCCAAAAAGAACAGTCAGCGCAGAGTGGGCACATGTCAAAGCCATCGGAACTGTGGCACAGCTCCTGCCTGTGGGGTATAGACGTGGTTCCAGGAACTGAAGGACTGCACCCTCTTCAGATCAGCCCCACCCCTCGCCTCCCTACGTCTCTGCTCTTCAGTCCTAGAACTTTCAAAAGTCATCGTTTTATTTTTGGAGACAGGGTCTCGCGTATCCCAGGCTGGTCTTGAACTTGCTCTGTGGCTGAGGATTCCTTGGATTTCCGATGCTCCTATCTCCATCACCTGAGGGACTGCGGGTGTGCGCCACCCCAGGCTCAGGCCTCATGCATGCTGGGCGGGCACCGTCAGTTGAGCTGCATCTCCAACCCCACCAGCATTTCCTTAAAAGGCAGTTTTTGAAACTATGCAACAATAAGAGTGAAAGATAAATCTCTGGACTTTGAGCTACACAAGGAAGTAAAACACAAAGCCAGCCATTTATTATAGGAAAAGCCTATACTATTCTAAGGACAAAAGGTTGAGCATCCGTACCAGCCTGGGGACACCCCTGACAACCTTTCATCTTGTGTCATGAGGCACAGGAGGCCTTGGGAGCTAAGGTAAGAGGACACTTACGTTGGTATGTCTGAGAAGACCAGGAAACATCCCACCAGGAACACCACTGTGCCCACCACTGCTGCAGGCAGGAGCCAGCCTGTGTAAAACCCTGCAGAAGGGATGCCGTTAGAAATTGGGCGTGCCCTAGGGATGTATTTGCTTTATGGGACCCAGGCTAAGCTCAGTGGGAACTAGAACCTGAAAGGAATGGGAGTCTCCCCTGGCCACTGCCCTCAACTCTGGACTCTGTCACCATGTTGGCTTAGTAACAGTGTCCCTTTGACTCCGTCCCACGGGTGCTTTATCTCCTGATAGTGTCCCCAGCACATGCCTACCTCCAAACAACTGCTCACTAGTGTCTTTCTGAGAGGCACAGGATGCTTTGTAGTTTGACCAGTGGAAGTGTGGGTCATTCTGGACCCACCCTTATTCCTACACACCACTAGGGCACCATCTCAATGGACCACACCCCGGCCCCCTGAGGTATCCCACATCCATCAACTGTGCACCTGTCTGCTTCCTGTGGGGTCAGCCTGGTCCCTACTGACCCTGTGAGGCCAAGAAGACACCTATAAAGTGTCCTCTGTCTGGAGCCTAGACGAAGAGTTCTCCAGCAGAGCCATACTGGACAGCAGGAAAGGCAAATCCCAGGATGGGGAAGGAGGGTCAGAAGGCAGTCTCTGAGATGCCAGCCTGACTTGGAGTAGGCTCCCCCATGGGGATATCTTTTCCCTCAGAGTAGACATTCCTGAGGGAGCCTCCCAAAAGGGAATGGGTGCTAGTTGTGGTCAAAAGGACCCCACAAACTAAGGGGCTCCCAGTGCTGTGCCTAGTGTTGTTGTGGGATATTTGGACACTGTGTGAAGATGCATTACTGTGATTGATGTAATAAAAAGCCAAATAGTCAATAGCTAGGCAGGAGATATAGGCAGGACTTCCAGGTCGAGAGAGAGCTCTGGGAAGAAGAAAGTAGAGGCACCAGCCAGATGTGGAGGAAGCAGTATGGGCAGTGCAGAGAGATGAGGTAACAAGCCACGCAACAGAACGTAGATGAAAATAAATGGATTAGTTATAAGAGTTAGTGGGACAAGCCCAAGCTAAGGCCGAGCTTTCATAATTAATAAGCCTTGTGTTGTTATTTGTGAGCTGGCGACCCAAAGAAAAATCACCTACACAGTGTCTGTTTCATTATCAGGGGGAATAAGGTCTGGCAGTAGAATTACCCCAGAGGGCAGATTGTCATAACACGAAGACCTTGCCGCAAGGCAGGACTCACCAAGCCAGGCGAAGTAGAGAGCCACCTTCTCCCCGAAGTACTGACGCACGTGGTCCAGTGGCTGGTACTTGTTCCACTTGCCCCAGCGAGCCCAGTGCTGGAGTAAGACTTGGCGCTGGGTGAGCCCTGGGCCCTGTGAGTTCTCTGGGACTGCAGAGAGTGGGCCCTGGGAATAAGAGGCCATTGCGCTGGGCTTCTCCACGATGTTTTAGTTCCACCCCCTAGTCCTCCCACAGGACACTTCTAGGAAGAGGAACTTCAGTGCTGACCCGGACCCACAATTCCACCCTCCAGGGCAGGCAAATGGCACAGATCCCAAGGAACGATGTTGTAAGGAAAAAACACAATCACACTGGAGGATGGGCTAAGAAGTGTCTGAAGGGAAATGTAGTTTGAATTCCCACAACTCCTGGGACTGCTGAGTGTCCAGGGCAGGGGATGAATCTGAAAGAGCTGGCCAGGACAGTAACTGGGGTGCAGGCTGACCAACAGCACCGTGGGATTGTCCAGGCCTGGCACATAGGCTGTGTGGTACCCAAGCCGTTCATGAGCCACTCCTCATGGACCCCAGCTGAGTGCCACTATGAGACTGTGTGTGTGTGTGTGTGTGTGTGTGTGTGTGTGA